CCCACCAGAATGCATCGATCGACACTCCTGTTTAGATGAACTACCATGATACATAGTTGAGATGGAATCGATTGAGGAGAGAATGAACAAGTCTGAGACTTCACACCTTGTTGTCCTTAAACATCAGAGACCACCTATCTGCACAGAAGAAGCTGATGGGATTTACAAAAGAGTGAAGCGCATACATGACTATGTGAAGTTTCTGGTACCATGCTTTGTATTTGAAGCTGAATCTCATATTCCACAAGATAGAAGTGTGCAACGTTCTTACATTATGGTATTGGATGATCATCAGCACATAAAAGCTTCTCAGAGAGGATTGAGATGTAGAGGTGAAGTTGACAAAGGTTCAACAAAAACAGCATCGATAGACATAGACCAGATATCATCGATTGACACAGACCATATACCATCGATCGACACGGACCAGATACCATCGATCGACACAGACCAGATACCATCGATCAACCTCGCTGAGACAACATCGATTGATACAACCAGTTCATTGTCGATCGACATCCTTCGGGTATTTCAGCACGCAGAGACAGAAACAGACAAGTCCGAGGGAAAGAAGAGGAGGAATTGGAAGAAGAGAAAAAGGATCAAGGGAGATCCTCAATTATCATTGACTCCTCACTTCTAAGATGGTGTCAGGAAATCCAGAGTGTGTCGCAGATGTTTCTCACAGCCTTTTCCAAAGCTTAAAACACTACTTATTTATGAGATGATAGACAAAGGAGAAGAGGTTATGGAGGAGGCTTTCACACAAGAATGATAAAGCTTCAGAGAGAAGACACTGAGACTTGTTTTGGAGCATGTTCTCATTCTCATCCGGACTAAATCAGATCTCCAGAAGTCAAGCTAATGACTAAAAATAAGCGTTGAGTGGGAGGCAACCCACAATTAGACACAAGGACGACGAGTTCTGCCACAAGCATCGATCGACGGCTGGCCAGCGTATCGATCGACAGAGCATCACGAGTATCGGTCGATTGCCATTTAATTGTGTCGATCGGCGCTCACCATCAATGAGCATGTATATCGTTTTTCCTTGTTAAATTAGTACTTATGATTTATTCTCCCACCGATCTTAGACTATATAACGCTGGTGATAGTGTTGTTTACGTCTGGAGAAGGTTTACTAATATTATGTTTTATTTTGAATTTTATTCCTATTATAAAAAAAAATATCCAAGGAGAAGAGATTACCGTCTTATCGACCGACGAGGCACAGTCGATATCGATCGAAACAACATCACCTGCGACGATCGATACACTTTTTACACATCAATCGATATTCATTCTAGTCAGGTGTATCGTTCTTAGTTGTTAAATTGAGTCCTTATGTTTTATTTATTCACCATAACTCTGACTGTTTTACACTGGAGACAGTGTAGTTTAAGTCTGTGGGGTTGTTTACTGATATTTGCTTACTATGAGTCGTATTAAAATTGTTTTCAAAAATTATTTTTATTAAGCTCAAGAAAGGGATGATGATCTTATTGATTTTATTTGTTATTTAACCACTTTTTAGCACCATTCTAGATTTACTGATTACAGATAGTACGAAAGATGCTAAAGTGGATCAACATGTCAATTATCCACACTTGCTTAGATTGTTTGAAGGAAGCAAAACTGATCTCCAACACTAAACCTGACACAACTGCTTCTCTTGGAGCTTGGTATACATTGGATCGAATTATTCAAGCAAGTCTGGAAGGTAAAGCCTTGTGTAGATTTATCACCTTTTTGTCTCTATTTTTGACCTTAGATAGTTAAGTAGATCTATAAAAAAAAGAGAGAAAAAGAAAAAAAAAAGAAAAAAAAGAAAGAAAAAGAAAGAAAAAGGAAAAAGAAAAGAAAAAATATACTTATAGGTTTTAGTTAGATAGAATCTGAACAGGACTTGGTGGCTACAACCATTAAGGCTTGATTCATAAAGATTCCAACAAAAAGGATTCGAATGGGACTTGGTGACTATAACCATTAAGGCTCACTTCATATGAATTCTTGGATATAGGTCAAACAGAAGTGATCAGGACTTGGTGGCAACCACCATTAAGGCTTGTTTCATGGAAGCATCTTCAATTTTGGTCAATGATCATGCCATAGAATCAGACTTTGACTCAAGAGAGAAATTAGAAGAGAGAAAAGATAGGAACTAACTTTTACATGAAGATTCAGATACTTGTTTGAGAATCCTTGCATCATGTGATCGATACTCCCAAGGTAAAGTCTGCACTTTTATTTATGTTAAGAAATGAGGTTAGCTGAGGGGAATGTCAGATAATATTTGCTAAGTTGCTGGCTAGATGAATTTGGTTGCTAAGCTAGGATGTGACATAATGAACTTCTGCGATTAGGACTTCTTGGATGTGGATTGCAATATTGTAGAGGTGCTGATTTCAAAGTTCTAAAATCTGTGAGTCCCTACTGTTTTCAAACCTCTTTCAGAGAGACTGCCTGTTTGTTTTGCTTGAGGACAAGCAAAAGGGTAAGTCTAAGGGAGTTGATATACCATGATTTTGAGCCACTTTTAGTCATGGTATATGAGTGTTTTAATAACTATTTATTGTATTATAGAGGATTTTTCGAGTATTTACACGTTCAGATACATTCTTGAGAAATATGGTGATTTTGGTGTCTTTTGGAGCCTTTTGAGTGCAGAACTGCACAGACACGTCAGATGCTTAGCTATGTATGGAGACCTTCCCACCGTTAGATTAAGCACATATGTTGACAAAAGAGATAGCTTTGAGTTAGCTTTCCAATGCCACCGGTCTAAGGTCAATCAACATCCTGTAGCAGAAGTTACGTCCGTTTTATTGAAGAGTGGTCAGTCTGCCTGACGAGAGGAAGCTATCGAGAAGAAAAAGGAAAATCGATCGATGCAACACACTCGGTATCGATCGATTTGGATCCCAGAACGCATCTAAGTATATTTCAAGACCGACTTAAACCTAGAAGAAACCCAAATTACAAGAATGCCCCTGGTTGACCAGAAACCATATTTATGTTATTTACAAGTCATTGTTGACGGCTAGAGATTACCTAAGCTATTCTTTAATTCATTATTCTTAGTTCTCGGAGAGGAGGGAGGAACTCCGTCAGAGTCCTCCTGGAACTCCTTTGGTTCTTTGGTTTTCATATTTTATCTATTATATTATATTCATTTATTCTATCTATAATTTTTGTGACAAACTTTATGCTAGAATAGATCCACCAGTTAGGTTTAGGTTCAAATAGGTTAGAGGGATTAGCCCCAACTATAGTATCACTTGTTGTGATATTTATTAATATGATGTTATTAATGCCTATCTTCTAGATTAGCTACCTAGAAACCTAATCTAAGGAGTTTAGATTGTTTGAGAAACCTTTACACAATCCTAGATATCCTGAATTTATTCTATTAAGCTAGGATTTTACTACAAAAAGGACAAGAGCTTGATCTAGGGATCCATAGTGAGTGTAAATTAACTCACGCATAAAGCTTAACTAACCGCATCGATCGACATTCCCATTGGAAATCGATCGACGCCGTGAACAGTGAATCGATCGATATTCATATAGAATACCGATCGACACTGCTATTGATCGAACATTCTTGTTTGGGTCAATAGATCTAGTTAATAGACTTCTTCGGTAAAGCGAACGCCTAATGAATTTTTATTTAGTAGTTAATCTCTTCAATATCATGCATATAACTGTTTAGCACCTATAGAATTATAATCTCTAAAACATGAATAGATACCCTAGATCTAGCAACCATCCTTCCATCAAACAACTCTCTGCCATGCTGAAAATTTTTCTTGTTCATCTTGTTTACTGTTTTATTTATTGCTTGCTATATTTACTGCTTTATAATTATTTACAGCTTTATTATTTTTTTCCTAGATTATTCATAAATGTTTAGATCTAATTGGTTCCCTAGTTCCTTGTGGATTCGATCCCTAAACACTACAGCTGAACCTCTTATTTGAGAGAGTAAATTAACTCCTTAGGGTAATTTGAGTGGTATCAAATTTAGCGCCGTTTACGGGGAACTTGATCGCCATTAGATGTTATTTAGTTAGATTTAGTCTAGGCTTTGTTACTGTTAGAAAAACTGATAAAAAATTTTCTTTTGTTTCAGGTACATACATCTCAGTACCAGAAAACAATGAGGAGAGGATTTTTGAGTCCTTCAAGGAAGGAGCATGTTGGTTTATGCATGAACCGTGAGTCTACATGGGAAGAATCGATCGACACCCTCCAAGCAGCAGCGATCGACAACGTACACCACAAATCGATCGACACACAATCACGAAAATCGATCGACAACGCCGCACCGAGAGCAGGTAAGTTTTCACTTACCACACATGTTAATGAGGAAATAGTCCAAATTGAACCAATAGGTCAAATAATCGACAGTGAAGGTTGACTATGAGCTGAAGCCGATGTATATCACTCTTATGAGCCAGTGTCCTTTTTATGGCCTTCCTGACGAGTAACTACTGGATCATATCGACATGTTTGAAGAACTAGTATGGTTTCTTTTTAATGAAGTCCCTGGAGACCACCACTTCTGCAAACTCTTTTCATACGCTCTTGCTGGAGAAGCAGCATATTGGTTCAGGAGTTGCAATCAGAATCCCTCAAGACCTAAATGGATATTATGAGAGTCTTCTTCAACAAATTTTTCTATGATGCTGTAGAAAATTTAGAGATTGAGATGGACTCTATGATGAGATATATGGTAGAAGATGATGGAGAAGAAACCGATACTGGTGATACAACCTCCACGTCGATCGACACCACAACTTCAACATCGATCGATACCATGTTCTCACAGTCGATCGATATTGCTCGGAATGTAATAAAGAGACGTTAAGGTTTACTTCACTCGTATTTGGTATTTTGGAGGATCTTCTTAGCTCCAGCGACCAAGTATGCTTGGAACCTCGTTTTGGAGGACATTTTAGTTTGAACTTTTTAATGTTTCTTCGGTTCTATTAGATGACAAAAGAAGAAATATTCATTATAATAAAACATGTTTTACAAACCATCGCCTCCTTCATGCATTTGCCTCAGGCACTTTGTCATATTAAACACAGACTGTATTTAGGGAGATAAGATAACCACTCTCAAACCAATGAATATCTTTTCACTTCTCAAACGAAGATTTTTTATTAAATGAACATAAAATGGTCAAACCAATGAAACAAGAATTGCTTATGTGAATAAGAGTAAGGCCAAAAGAGGTAGGAGAAGCAAGAGTTGAGATGCAAGAGGGCTGAGACTGGCTGCTCCGCCTGAACCATTTCCAGTAGTAGAGTTACGAGGGTCAAATGGGGGAGGTGTAGCAACGGAAACAAGAGGAGGAGGAGGTGGACTAGGTAGTGGAGCAGATAGTCTTGGCGAAGGAGCTTCAATCTCTGGTGGTGGAGGAGTAGCTATTAAACTTTCATCCTCATAACCTGCCATTAAAACAAAACACTTACTAAGCAATTGCTTTGTTCCTATGTGTACACAGTCACTTCCTGGTTTGGCCACTTACAGTCAGACCGTTTCCAACCCAAAATCATCCTCTCCCGGTCGAATACGATGCGGTATCCCGACATGAAGTTCTCTGCAAACAACCAAACATGAAACACATTCAACACTTATTCTTTCTCTCTATTTGCTTCAGTTCCATGCAGCATATATGTGAAGCATTGGGATACTTACGTCCAATAATGTTAAGCTTGAAATCCACACTCTTGAGAATACCTAAGCAGTACATCCCGGTACCGTCCTATATATTATTCCAAGTTAAAAGCAAAATGTATATCAATAAGCTAATCCATGAAACTATATATATGTGAACCTAGATTAAATAAAGACATTGTTTCTTACCTCATTGAACACCGCAAAAAGTGGATTTCTCAGAATCATTTGCGATCCTCCTCCAAAAGTCATTACAATTCTTGAGAAATAAATGGATGTACTGTTTGGACTGAACACGCAAAGAGGAATAACATCAGAAAAAAGTTGTGGAACATAGATTGCTAATTGAACTATCCCATACAATTCATCTGTTTCCTCTCTAACATTCAGTGTTAGTCATTTTATTACTTTCTAGGTGTTCTTTCATTTTCTAAAAGACCAAAACATTTTACTAATATGGACAAAAGCATATGACAAGAGTGCACTCATGACCTTAAGTCATAACAGAACTCAAATGGAAGCTCAGGATCATTAGGGCGTCGCTTGTCTTTGACTTGATCGTCAAACTGCAAAAGTAATATAGTGAAGGTCATGTGATGTGAGAAACAAATGCTTTAGTGGGATGAAATTTCTTCTACCAAGTCATCATTTCAACGCCCACTGATAAAATCACAAATATAAGACATTTAATGAGTTGAAAGTGTTACTTTCAAAAAAAGAAACCATAACTTTGGCAAGAGTTAGGTCAACAGATATACTTGTGCAGCAAGCTAACTAAAAAATTGGTAATTTTAACCATTACTTTGGCAATAGTTTAGCCGACAGATCTACTTGTGATGCAGAAACTATAAATGATGTCCCAGTGTCAACTTGGTCAGGAAGCATTAGAATAGATGATTAGTCTTAATGTAAGGCACTTACAGTTTTGGTAACCAGATCATATTCTGCCTCCAGTAAGTGTGTGAATGATGTGCCAGTGTCAACGAGTGCTAGAAGCTTGACCCCCAGAGCCTCTCCTCCCACTGATACTTCCGTCACATTCACAGCATAAGTCGGACTAGTTTCATTTGAGATAAAGAACATCAAAAGAGACAAACAAAAACAGAAACATAAACAGAATCAGTCTAAGATTAAGATAGTACACCGAACTGAACAACTTTTTAAGTGCTTGACAACGTACCTTGGTTCAACAGGAACTAGTGGCGTCTCCTGCTGGTCTGTGTAGCCTTTGTCTCCAAAGCTGATTCTTCCGACAATGTCAATGATATTGCCAATACACATTGAAAATGAGTTTGCGGTAATATTTGCTTTTGCTAGTACACTCGGGACAGAGTAATCTTTCAAACCAAGCCCGAGAAGACCGTTCACTGCAAAACCTGTCCGTAGCGAACCTGTCTGATTCTGACCGCAACTGCATGTCAAAAACAAAAACATGAAACATGTGAGATTTTAAACTTCCAAGAGAGGCAATAAAAACCTCTAAAGTTTACCGTCTCTCAAACTAAGTTCGGTGTACCAGTAAAAAAGACACATTCCTAACGGTTTTAAGAAATGGACAAAACAATAAAAAAAAAAAAAAGGTTCATTACATACCCAAGCGTGACGTTAGCCTTAACAGGCTCTAAACCATCATCCTCCGTGACCAAATGCAACACATCCTCGACCAATGTCCCTCTGGTGGATGTGTTGTTAGAAAGGTACTGAATCTTATAAGGGCAAATACTTGCAGGAGAAGAACATCCTTTCGATCCAAAACAACGTTTGTCACTGCATCTAATGTTTGAACTCGTAGAAGATGCGTTGGGGCTGTAGAGATTGAGTGGTCGACTCTATGTCAAAGAAAAAAAAAACCAGTTACATGAAAGTATGAACAAAAAAAAAGAAAGGAAGAAAAAGTATATGCTTTCTTGAGGTGAAAGGTACCTGTGGAAGTCCAATATCTTTCAAGTCACGGATACAAGTGGTACCGCAATTGCAAGGCAACCAAAACAAATCACTTCCTGTGTCCAGAGCCACCAGGAACCATTTAGCCGGTGTTCCCACAGAGACATTGGCATAATGGAGGCTGAAACCAAATGGATATACAAATCATATTCGATATGGTTGCATTATAAAGAATAAAAAGAGTTCTTGTGAATCAAGAAGAGAAAAGGCATTACGATCCAAGAATATCGAGTCCAAGCGTACGGTTTCCTCTCATGAACGTGACGGGAGTTTCTTCGTTGTTGGAAGCAAGACCTCGACCCCTGATCAACTGATCACGTTGGGCCAAAACCTTGAAGTACTCCATACTTCCCTTCTCGGGAACAAGATCGTCAAGCCCTAGAGTCTGCTTGACCGCATCAGAGAACATGTGGTGAACTTCGAAGCTGAACTTCCCAGCAGCTTCACATCTCTCCAATTCCCAACCGACCACTAACAAAGACAAGAACACAAACACATGGCGTGATACAGCCATAACTTTCATATATTCAGAGGAAACAACAACACCTCCAGAGTAATAAAGCAGGACGAGTATCGTATTTGTAAGGAGATGAAAGGTCAAAAGCTTGACTCGTTCGCATTGTTCCAGACAAGCAGAGAGAAGGTAAGATGATTGTTCCAACTAATAGTACTTGTTTAATTGTAGTTGCCATTATTTTGCTACTTTAGTATACTTCCCAGAAGCTGATGGTTGACAAGTGCAGAGTCTATCTTATGAAGGGTGGCGACTTTTGATCGTCTCTTTGAGTATACTTCCCATGAAACTAGCCGTTCATACGTCTCTTTGTTAACGCTTTTTTTTTTTTGCTGAAATATCCCCTTTACTTTTCTTATTTTGCACTTAATTCCTACTATCTCTATAATATTATTTGAGAAGTCAGTTTCTTATGTGTCGTTCTCACGTTAACTCTCACGATTGTTGATTACATTGATACCCTTAATGAATTAAAAAATAATTAAAATAATATTATTAATTTTTTATATAGTTTCCTTTTCAAAAATTTCCAAAAATATATGTAATAAAAAGGAAATTTTTTATAAAGTCATAAAAACAAATTGAAAACGAATTTATATACATATATATTATACTAAAGTATTTTTCCTTTCAAGTGTTTTTAGTAATAATACATTTAAAAATATTTTTAAATAACATAAATATACTTTTAGAGTAATAAAAATAGTTTATAATTAGTATTATTGAATTTATTTTTCATATATTTAGTTGACTATAATATCTTTCAATTACAGAAAATTATCTATAAATAATATTTTACTTATATCATATTATTTTCAAATACAATCACAATTTTATGTAGTGGTTATTTAAAGAGATATTAAAAACTAAAAATAAATTTAACAATAAACATCACTTAATAAAATAATTTTATCATTATTAAAATTTTTATTTTCTTAATATTAAATTTTATTTTAAATTTTAAAATTTTATGTTTGTGAAACTAAATATAACCATAATCAAAATACCAAAGCAAATCTGAATTCCCAATTTTAAGATTATGTAAAATAAATTTCAGTTTACATTTAATAAATCTAAAGCATAAAGTTTTATTTAGAATTTATAAATATTTTAATAATTGTAAATATTAATATGTGTTCATGAGGTTCCAAAAATGTATCAACTACTTATGCATGTAGCCTTTTATTGATCATAGGATAACTGAAAACATATTAACAAAAAATAAATATTAATCAACTCTTACAATTTTAGTTCTTTAGTAAAATTTATATATATGCATGAGATTTTAAAATATTATGTTATATTAATTTACGTATTTTGGAATCAGACACTTTAGTTAATTTTTAATTCATTCTAAGCACAATATATCTTAAGTTATACATAATTTTACTAAAATATATCTACATATCTAAGACAACACCCACTATATGCAAATAAGTAATTAATAAAAAATTATATATTTTAAAATATTACAGTTGAATTCAGAGATGTAATTCAGTTTATCCAAATGATAACTAAATCAACCGTAAAAACAACAAAATCGACTAGATATAACATATATAAAATTAAAGTATAATTAAAGTAATATAATATTATTAATATAAATGATACATACAAATTATAAATTAATTTAAAATTAAAACTAAATAGTAATCAATTATTATCATATACTTTAAAAATATTTATACCCGTGCATGAGCACGGGAAAATCACCTAGTTATATTATAATCAACGAACATATTTTCACCTAACTCATGCTATTATTGAATGCATGATGCAACAAGATTGTAGCTGACCTTTTCTTTTTAAGTTTACATAATACTATAAAGGATGTAAATCATGTAATTGACCTTTTTATGCAAAATACATAATATTTCACTCACGACGTCGCATTAGAGTATCTATAGTATATACGGTGTGGACAATTACAACTTTTTTGAAGTCCTTACAAGAAAATTTACAACTTGTATCAATAAACTCGGTTTTATACAACCACTTGAGAAAGATTAGCTCATCTACAGAAGTCAAACCGACGAGGAGGGCATTAAGAATTATGAGTCACATATAGACAAGTTAAATAATTCCCACTAAGTAATAATCTGCGCCTTGCCCGGAATGAGATTATTACTTTTGTTATTTTTAAGATAAAATGATATTATGTTTTTTTAACATGAATATTGGTTCAGTTTTACGTTGTTTTTTTAATCTTTTAAAATATAACTATTATTGTAATCAAGAGATCAAGTTCTTCAAACACCTTTCAAATATATTAAACCTCAACCTCAATAGCAATTCTTTCAATCACACAAATCCGTGATCTCAAAGTTAAATAAGCCTAGATATATATAGTAGATAAAACTCCAAAACCTATTAGTAAAACACTTAGATAACGGCTAAAACACTTTTAGATAACTCCCAACANAGATCAAGTTCTTCAAACACCTTTCAAATATATTAAACCTCAACCTCAATAGCAATTCTTTCAATCACACAAATCCGTGATCTCAAAGTTAAATAAGCCTAGATATATATAGTAGATAAAACTCCAAAACCTATTAGTAAAACACTTAGATAACGGCTAAAACACTTTTAGATAACTCCCAACAAGTTTAGGATTTATCCTTAACTTGTGACTCAAGATAACTTCAAGCTTATCCAACATTCTCCCCCTTAAGCTTGACTTCATCTTTCACGTCTTGCACTCCAATCAACTTCCTCATTTCTGCAAACTTGTGTCGACTCAGAGACTTCGTAAGATGTCAGCTCGTTGCATACTTCCTGGAACATGTTCTACTTCAATCTGATTATTCTCCACACACTCTTTTATAAAGTGAAACCGTCTATAGATGTGTTTACTTCGTCCATGGAACACTGGGTTCTTAGTGAGAGAGATTGCAGACTTGTTATCAACCTTTAAAACTATCTTTCTGCAATCATTCCCTACTACTTCACTCATCAAATCTTGAAGCCATATGGCTTGCTTTGCTGCTTCTGTGGCCGCCATAAACTCTGCCTCACATGATGATAAAGCCACAATTTCTTGTTTCTAAGAGCACCATGTTATGGGACTGTTACTGAGGTAGAAGACATGTCCACTTGTGCTTTTGCCATCATCCGCATCCACATTATGTGAGCTGTCACTGAAACCTACCAACTCTAGCCTAGTTGTTATTGTAAACCTTAGACCAAGAGATGTAGTACCTCGCAAATATCTCAACACCTGCTTCAAAGCTGCACCATGAGACTCTTTAGGTGCCTGCATATACCTACTAAGTACACCCACAGAGAATGAGAGATCAGGTCTGGTGTGTAGTAAGTACCGTAGGCACCCAATGCTCCTTCTATACTCTCTTTTGTCGATATTTTCTTCTTGTGGTGACCTTGAAAGCTTTACGTTCATATCCATGGGAATATGAGTAGCATTGCAGTCACTCATCCCTGTTTCTTCAAGAATCTTCTGAGCATATCTTTCTTGTGACAGCACAATGTCATTACCTACTTGATGAACTTCAATGCCCAGATAGTAGTTAAGTCTCCCAAGATCAGACATTTCGAACTTACTTGACATCTCCTTCTTGAACTCTTCAATCATTATAGAGGACGAACCTGTAACGAGTAGGTCATCTACATAGACACATACAATAAGAAGATTCTTTCCTTCTTCCTTCCTATAGAGAGATGGCTCCTTAGTGCACCGAGTAAAGCTAAGATTCTTCAGGATTCCATTGAGATTAATATTCCAAGCTCTCGGTGCTTGTCTCAACCCATAAAGAGCTTTATGTAATCTATACATCTTCTCCTCTTTACCTTTTACCTCAAATCCCTCAGGTTGAATGACATAGACTTCTTCCAATAGGTCTCCGTTCAAGGATGCTGTTTTTACATCAAGATGATGTACTTCCCAATGCTTTGAAGCTGCTAGTGCGATCACTAACCTTATTGTTTCCATTCGTGCTACAGGCGCAAAAACTTCTTCATAGTCAATACCATGGCGCTGAACATACCCCTTGGCTACTAACCGAGCTTTGTATTTGCTTATAGACCCATCTGCATTCCTCTTTATTTTGAAAATCCACTAAAGTCCAATAGCTTTGAACCCTTTTGGTAAGTCAGTGAGAACCCAAGTGTTGTTTTTCTCGATTGAACCAAGCTCTTCTCTGCACGCATCTATCCACACCTTTTGCTCTTTAGCTTTGTTGAAGTCATACGGTTCATTATTGATTACTATCAGAAGTCTTTCACACTCTACTTCAGCCATTAGAATGTAATCGTCTAGGTAAGAAGGCTTTGTTCTTACTCTGCTTGATCTTCTCAACTCTGTTTCTTCTTCTCCATCTTCTTCTTCACTCATTGTATTCTCTTCATTATTCTCATCTTCACCACTTCCATTAAGAATCTCAGGAATATGATTTTCTCTATCTTTCACCGGAGTAAGCTCAACTTCGAATGATTCTTGTTCTATTTCTTTTCCTTCATGCATATCGCTCCAAATCCATTGCTGTTCTTCTTCAAAGTGTACATCACGACTCACCACTACTCTCTTGGTGGTTGGATCCAGTAGTCTATATGCCTTTGATCCTGGTTCAATTCCCAAATGCACTAGGACTCGAGATCTATCATCTAATTTCTTTCGTCCTGCAGTCTCAGTTCTTGCATAACACACACACCCAAATACTTTCAGATGACTGACACTTGGTTTCTTCTTTCTCAGCGCCTCGTATGGAGTTTGATTAATCAGAGACCTTGTTGCCACTCTATTGAGTAAGTAAGTGGCATGTCTGACTGCTTCGCCCCAAAGTGTGTTTGGCAGGTTCATGTGCTTCAACAGGCTCCTGGTCATCTCTAATAGGGTACGGTTTCGCCTCTCTACAACCCCATTCTGCTGTGGAGAATACGGGGCTGTTGTGTGTCTGTTAATTCCATGCTTGTCACAGTAGTTGTTGAATTCATGAGAGCAGAATTCTCCTCCTCTGTCTGATCTAAATGTTTCCATTGTTGACTTTGTTTCTTGTTCTGCACGTTGCTTGAATATCTTGAATTTCTCAAATGCCTCACCTTTCTCCTTTAACAATATGGTCCAC